GAGAAGGTGCAAATCGAATTTTGTATGATGCTCGATTGGGCGGCTAAAAGAGCTGAAAAACACCAAGTAAGGAATTCACAATTTTCTTACTATTCGCTACTATTTGGCAGAAACATGTAAAATACGCTGTTCGCCAACAAAATAAATGAAAATTTTGCATTTTACATAAATATGATTTTTATTGCATTCATATTTTACATGATAAATATTAATGTCAAATATTTTTTTAAATTATGTCATTTAAAAATAATTTTTAAGCAACAAGTAAAGAAGGTCTAAGTTCGGGCGTAATCATAACATTTTATACTCTCCCAAGGTAAAGTGATATACGGAATTTTCATATATATTTTAATTAAAAATAGGAAGTAATATAATCACACACAAGAATATACACTATTATTAGAAAGAAATTTTTTCGGAATTTCATAAAGATTTCAAACATATTGACCATAAGATGTGGTATAAAGTCAACCGGAAGTTCGAAAACATTTGTATTAGGTATTTGGGTTGAGGGAAGTATTGTCCCGATTTTACCCATTTTTGGCACAAAAATATTTTCTCCGAATTTCAGTACTAGAAGTCAATGTGTCCGGGTCCTTGCAGTTATAGTCCGATTTCGACACTAGATGTGCAAAGTTGCATTGATGTTTGATTTGTATACTGTAAAGTGAAAGAATCAGATAGAATTTTAATGTTTGTTATATGGGAAGGAGGCGAGCTTGTCAAACGACTGCGCCCATTCACAGCGTATGTATGCCCATTCACGTGGCAAATGATTAGGTAACCTTACACAGTATATTTTGCTGAAAATTATCTAGAAGTTCCTGAGATTTAGGCGGTGCCACGCCCATTGCCCGAGTTTTACACCGGCTCCCTTCCCTGTTATACTGGCTGCGAAATTTAATGTTTGAGGCTCTTTTATTCAGTGAGTTATCGCACTTTTAGCAATTTTCACATAACCGTTAAATGGGGAGTGGGTGTGATTGTTATTTGATTTTCCCTATTTTCACAGTGTATAAAGAAATTATTGCTATTTATAACAGTTAAAAATTTTCGTTTAATGGCGTTTTGTGGGCGTGGCAGTGGTTCGATTAGTGGCTATCTACGAACTCGTCCTCACCTTTTTGCCAAGGAGCACGTGTACTAAGTTTCATTAAGATATCACAATTTTTACTCAAGTTATTGCTTGCACGGACAGACAGTCACTCAGATTTCAACACGTCTCATCACCCTGATCATTTATATGTATATGTATACGATTAGTTTTAGATGATGCAAACAACCGTTAGGTGAACAAAACTATTATACTCTGTGCAACATGCTAACATTCTCTAGCCAAAAACAGCTTCTTCATCAACAAATTCAAGTAATAGTAATGCTGCTGCGAGAAAGAGAAGACGAAGAAGACATGTTGCTAGAAGAAGACGTACGGCAAGCCGGCAAATGAGCGGCTAGCTGTTAGAAATTTTCTTAAATTGTAATTAGTATAAAGTCAATTCAGGGGCAACTTTGAAATTCACTGAAAATCTTATTGCATGGCATAATGAAGATCGTAAATAGATATATAATATTTAAATGAACAACATGGAAATTTAGAAAGGGTTATTGTTAGTTAAGTTTCAACAGAAATACTTTTTTCTAGATTTCAATCCTATAATTTTTCTATAATTTTTACCACTTGAATACTTAGAGTGAAACGATAAAAAAATGGATTACAATTATATTTGGTATTTTATTAACATACTATATGTATGCAGTCAATCCCGGTTAAGTATCTCAACCGACGATGCAGATGTTTTGTAATACTTAAGAGGGAATAGCACAAGAATCCCGCTAAAGTACCATATGGTACTTACGTTCCATTTGTTAAAAATATCCATTAGATATATAAAGATGTAACTTTTTTATACTCTCGCAACCTGTTCCTACAGAGTATTATAGTTTTGTTCACCTAACTGATGTTTATATCACCTAAAACTAATCGGGTTGGATATAGGGTTATATATATATACAAGGTGCAATTCAAAAGTTTCAGGACTTTTATTAAAAAATGAATATTATTATTATTATTTTTTTTTTTGAAAAATGTATTGGTCGCCTTCAAAATAGTCTCTTTTCGCCTGAATACAACGTTTTGCACGTTCAAGAAGGTTATCGAATGACTTTTTTAGGTCATTTGTCGGTATAGCTTGTAAATGATCAGGATGAAGAGACGAGTTCAAATCCGGGTGACTGTCAGTCCGTCTGTGCAAGCTGTAACTTGAGTAAAAATTGAGATGTCTTTATGAAACTTGCTACACATGTTTCTTGGTACCGTAAGATGGTTGGTATTACAGATGGGCGCAATCGGACCATTAATCAAAGACAAATAAATTGCCATAACTAAGCTCCACAATAAGATACAAGACTTTTATATGGTATACAGGATCATAATAAGGACGGGCGTCTGCAGTTTAAAATTTTTTTTAAAAGTGGACGTGGTCTAGCCCCCAATAGGTTTAATGTGCATATCTCCTAAGCCGCTAAAGATACAATAACAAAATTTCCCTACAAACAAATATTTTTAGTACCTATATCGATAGTGTAAAAATGGGTGAAATTAGGTGACAACCCCGAACTCCCAAGTACTTAACACGCCAGAGACATTACATTTTATTTCTGGGATGGTATGAGATGACTTTATAGGAACCGACTTCAAAATTAGACAATGGGCATGGCACCGCCTACTACAATATCTACAAGTACATAACATTCTTCTCATATTTTCATGTTATAGTGCGAAAATGGGCGAAATCGGATTACAACCACGCCTATTTCCCATATAACACCATTTTAAATTCCATCTGATTCTCTCACTTTCCACTTTGAAAATCAAGCAAAAATGATTGCATCGGAGTAACACTTTGCATGAATAATGCCTTTTAAGTATGCCACCTTGTGACCAAAAATTGTCGACATCGAACTAAAACTCGTCAAGCCCCTGTGTACGAATATATGGATCCCAGTGCCTATAGTTGACTTTTTACCGAAAATATCGGTTCATGTGTAAGATATATAATTGAAATTCATATTATATAATAAAATAAATAAATGAAACTCTCGATAATAGTATGTTTTTGTGTCAAAGATGGCTTAAATCGGGATCATATTATTTACAAATTTAATTTGGTTAACACAGGGACATATTGCATGCGTTTCAATAAAAAATAACATAAATATTTTTGAAGTTGACATTTGTATTATATTTGGGGCCGCCGAGAGAAAAACCGGGCCCAGCGGTAAAGAAGTGGGGTATGTAATACTTTATAAATTTGATTAACTATCTTCCCGCTTACTAGTCAATGTTTTTAAAGAATAAGTCAAATACGATGTAATGTATCTTCTCTTATCTATGATGGGGAGTGGATAATTTTGAAATCTGTTGACTATCTTGATTAAGTTTTTGAACATGCAGTTTCAAATCCACCAATCTTCAATTACTTTGAACTTAAAAGTGAGCTTTTAGAGCTTTCGCGGCAGCGAATGTGTTGATAATAGTTTGGAAATCCAACTTCTTGGCTAACTTTGCCTCTAGGCACAGTGTAGTTAGTCCCGGAATCATGCCCTGACGAGCATCGATGAAAATTTTTGATCCATGCTGAAGCACTAAACGAACGTGCACCACTTGAAACAGAAACGGTTAAAGTGAAAAATATTCTCAAAGCGGTGCAAATTGTTGGGAAAAGTCTTCACAACTTTCGAGCATTAAAGGTATTCCATAAGTTTTATGGAGTAAGACGGGTTTCAAAATTTCTGCAAACTTCATTGGAGAACTTATCAAATACATCAACGGAATATATTTTGCAAATCTTTTGACAGCTACGTTGAGTTTATCTTCTTTCATGTCATGGAACTGCCATAGAAATGAGAACGATTCGCTTATGTCACTCACTGCGGCGAATATTGTATGACGTAGTAAGTGTTTCTTTTGAATTCAATTTCTTCTTTACTGCAATTTTCATCCAGTTCTTTATGTAGGTCGTTTCCGTGTTTGGTGACATCGTCTCGATATTCTTTCAATTCTCTGCAACAATTATGAGCTTATTAAAAATTGCTTTCCACTGGTCGTGCAGAAATTGAAAATCCTAAAGAATGCTATATTTCTAACTTCACCATCAAAAAACACTCAAATTTGCTTATATATCAAGTTATTAATTGCAGGGACAGTCGGATGGGCAGGTAGTCACTCGGAGTTCAAGTCGTTTTGTCATCCTGACCATTTATATATAATAACTTTCTATCTATCTCTACTGGTTTTAGGTATTGCAAAGAACCGTTAAAGCAAGGTAACTATGCTTCTCTTCTATAATGTAGGAGATTAATTAGAATTTGATGGTAGAAGTATTGTCTACCTTATGTAAAAGAACTTGCTTAGCCTGTAATTTACATATTTTAAATTAGAATAGGGATTACTAAAAGGGTGCCAAAAAATCAACATAATATACACAATTTTTTATTTTTATGTATGTATATAAATAGTAGAATTTGTTAAATTATGTAGAATTGGACTCGAAAAACATAAATATTTTTGTTTTAAAGAGAATTATTAAATTTTTTTCGAAATTTCTTTTTTTATCTTAAATAAATGCAAAATATCTCAAGAACTTTGTATCTACATTTCCAGTCGACTGGAACAATTGAAATAGTAGTGAATGAAAAGTTACTAATATCTTTATACCGGCAACCACAGTTAAACTTTTTTCCGAAACGCTCCAAAGTAACGGCTGCCATTACCGCATTTTTAAACATTCCTCCATGAATGTTCTTCAAGACTATTATTTACCATTTGTTTAAAATAGATTAAATAGGTTTTAACTGCTTACAAAAAACTCCAAAAAAATGGGCCTTGTTTTACACGAGTTAAATTACCTCAACTGAACCCTTAATTTCTTTTACTTAATTAAGTATTTATGTATGTATATAATCATGTTTAGTTATTAAAAGTTTTATTTTATTTGCAGTTACCACAATCTGATTTAGATGGCCTGGATCCGAACTTTAAACGTTTTCGAATTGAAAATGGTGATTCGCTAGCAGAAAAAGACGAGGTGCGTAAATCAACATAAATTTAAAGAAGTAACAAAGGGCTAAGTTCGAGTGTAACCGAACATTTCATACTTTTGCAACTTGCAAGGATCAAAGCCGGGGTAATGCCTTCAGATGTTGGCAAAACTTTACCATATATAAAAAAATGTTGCGTTTGACGAAATGGTGTATGGACTTATTTAATTTTGGTATCATATTAACTTATTTTGAAGGTCATATACTCACTTAGTATTATTTCTATATACATATAGAAATGGAAAGACTGATTGCATTAATTTTTGACATTGCCCGAGTATATTATTGAGAGCTTATTTTCGTACGCATGAAATTTAATGCTTTAATTCTTACTTTTTCTATCCAGCCTTATTTAAATGGTTCCAAACGGTTTTTGTGCAATGTTTAGGTTCTGGACAATAGTAATCGCTGTTTGTACTCGGCGATTTCCATTATTTGGTCGATAATTAGTCTTCCAGAGCGTGGTGCATCTTTGATATGGAAATTACCGGAACGGAATCGACGAAACCAGAATTGCGCATGATTGGCTGTTATACTATCAGGACCATAAACACTATTCCCACCGCCGCCCGGATTGCGTTATCGAAGAAAAACTGTAAAATATATCTATTTGCTAATGTCCATCTTTGACGCGCGCTCAAACAAAACTAAATCAACCAATTAAGTACGCAATGTCATTTAACGCAATCTAATCGAACTCGATCGGACTTGTACAACGCGAGATAGAGATAAATAACGCCATCTATAGGATAAATAAATAATAATTTCTTTTTACTACACCTTATATATGGAGTAAAGAAGTTTCAAACCCATGAATATCAGGTATATGGCGGCTAAGGCAACTTTACGCCCGATTTTATCCAGTTTAGGCACAAAGATGCACTGTTATTTGGAAAACACGATATATGTGGTATAAAGTCAACTAGAAGTTCGAATATCTTTATATTAGGTATATGGGGGCTAAGGAAAGTATTAATCCGATTCAACCTATTTTTGACAAAAGGGTATATTATTATCATAAAAATATTGTCTCCGAATTTCAATTATATATCTCACAGATTGACGGATATTTTGGGCAAAAAGTTAGCCATAGGCTCTGGGGTCCACATTTCCGGTATCTAGGGCCTAGAATAGTTATGGTCCGACTTAGAAAATTTTTAGACCTGAGATGGCACACCTCATAAGAAATATTCGTGTAAATTTGTGTATTAATTAGTTTGCACTGGTAAGTGAAACATTCAGATGAAATTTAAAGTTGTGATATGGGAAGTAGGCGTCATTACTGTTCAATTTCGCTCATTATTGCACTGTTTCATGGAAGTGTCAAAGTAATTTTATATACCAAATTTAGTTGAGACTGCTGCATTGGGTTCGAAGATATGAGCCCATTGTCCAATTTTGACACCTGCTCCTATAAAGCCCATTTCGGATGTAAAATTTATTGTTCATCTGATTTCACCTATTTTCATGCTGTCGCAAGAAGTGTCGAAATGGTATGTCCTGTGCACGTTTAGGTAATATAGCTTAAATAAATTGGAAGATATTTACATTAAACTTATTAGGAGGCGAGGCCACGCCCAATTTTAAAATGTAGTCAAACAACAGATGCCCCTCATTACTGCGTTTCGTTGTTAAAAAATAACTTTACTTTACTCTTTTGTAACTTCATTTACGGCTTAATTATGGCAATTTATAGGATTTCGATTAATGGCGTTTTTTCGATTACGCCCATCTTTTTAACTCGTCCTCACTTTTTTTCAAGGAACACGTGTACCAAGTTTCATTTAGATAGTCAGTCACGCGGAATTCAACTCGCCTCTTAATCCTAATCATTTATATATATAATACATAACTCCATATCTATTTCGGTTGGTTTTAGGTGATACAAACAACCGTTAGGTGATCAAAACTATTTTACTCTGTAGAAACATTTTGAAAGAGTGTAAATAAAAATTCCCACCACATAAGTAGCTCTTTGACTTACAAAAATTGTTGAAACTGATTCAAACCATATTGGTTTTTGTCGCTTGGTGTTAAAAAATGGAAAATTTCGATTCAATAAAAATACGCACAAGTTTTAGATATGTATAAATACATTATGAAGAGATACCGATCATACATTTAGAATTATTTCTTACAACAGACATTTTTAAATAGACTCTAAATGTTGAAAAACTAACAGTTTTACTTTTCGTGTCATGTTTCGTAGAAGTTTCACTTATTAAACCCCAAATATAGTCCAAAATAGTGTATACTAGCCTTGATAAACTCCCATATTATCTATAAATTTATCTATATAAGAGAGTAATATGGGCATCTTTAGAGACAATCTACTTCCGATTATGAAGAAATTCGTAATCATGTCAGTGGTCAGCTCGTCATAATTTTCAGCTCTAAATTTTTTTCTCCTTTTTGACGAAAACAACCCGCAAAGGCCGACATTATACTTGTATAGGCGTGAAAGCCAAAAATTGTGAAATCGCTATAATTACTTAAATAGCGAATATTTTCGATTTGAAATCGTCCTTTCCCATATGTATTTGCATATATGTATAACCAGAATTTATTAAGTAAATCCCAAGTTCAAAAAAAAAAAAAGTTTGTTGACCTGCGTTATTGTTGTACAAGTATATACATTTCAGAATTATATCATTTAGAGCTAAATAGCCCACTAAATTTAGGTGAGACTTTCTCGTTTAGTATGTTAAAAGTGTGTACCTGAAATATATAAAACAGATACATCTTCCCATGGAAAATTGGAAAAACCTCGTCAACCTAAACCCGCTACACTACCGGAACACTACCACAACTCATCATCTTTATGTGGGTATATATAATGTTTAATAGTTTATTCGAATATAATACGTACATATGCAAATGAATCAATTTTAGTTTTACTTTTGCAGGTTTTCGGATCTCCGAGCACCCCTATCTTAGAGAATCCTGAGCATCAAACACGATGGTATTTCAAATACTTTTTGGGCAAATGTAAGTGAAGTAAAATGTTAGTACCGCAGCTATAGTACCTTGACAGCTATATGTACCTTCACAGGTACATTCTTATAGCATAAAAGGGTATAAAATGATCTTTTGATAGGTCAGTTTGAATGACAGCTATAAGATATAGTAATCCATTCTAAACAATATGTTCAGAGATGGTAGCGATGCTTTAGATAATAACTTTTGCCAAATTTTATGAAGATACTCTGACATATACAAGAGTTTTCCATGCAAAGAGAAAAGGATTGATCGGCCAATTGTATAGCAGCTACATGCTATAGTAATCCGATCCAAACAATTCTTGCGGAGATTGTAGCGCTATCTTGAATAATACTCTCTGCCAAATTCCGTGAAGATACCTTGTCAAATAAAAAATATTTCCTTACATGGAATTGAGTTTGATCATTCTGTTTGTATGGCAGCTATTCATATGTAATTGTATGTATGTGCGATATGCGCAGTTCTATCAAATAAAAAGCTTCTTTGTAAAAAAAGGACGAGTGCAAAATTTCTGAATCCGATTCGCGTAAATACAGACGGAGGGACAGACGGACAAACGGACATGACTAAATCGACTCGGCTTGTCACGCGGATGTATATACTTTATAGAGCCTCAAGTATATACAAACTGAATACCTTGTTCAGGGTATAAAAAGAATCAGAAATAATTAAGATTGAAATTAAAGACATCTTAAATATACGGGGTTATCAAAATAGCCACGCGGATTAAAACATATGTATTAACATAAGACCAATGCATGAGTTTATAATTAGATATATTTAAAATTATACAAATATAATCAAGTAAGGAAGGGCTAAGTTCGGGTGTAACTGAACATTTCATAGTCTTGCCATTTGCATGGATCAAAGCCGGAGTAATACCTTCAGTTGTTGGCAAAACTTTATATTAAGAAATGTAGCGAAAAGGTGAGAACTTATTTTCAAACAATTTTATAAATATATACATAAGTAAAAACATATACTACATATGTATATGGAGTAAAGTTTCAAAATAGTGAATATCAGTTATGTATGGTATGAGATGACTTTAAAGTAATCTTGTTATAAATTAAACAGCGGGCATTGCACCGCCCACTGTTAGGTGAAAACCCATATCTTCGGATCTGCTTAACCCATTTCAACCAAATTCCGTTCATGACGTTCTTCTCACATTTCTATATCATAATGCCAAAATGGATAAAATCGGATTACAACTACGCCTATTTCCCATGTAACACCATTTTCAAATCTATCTGATTCTTGCACTTTCCACTATGCGCAACAATAATTGTACCAGGTAAAACTTTGCGTGAATAATTCGTTTAAAGTATGCCACCTTGTGACCAAAATTTGTCTAAATCGAACCAAAACTGTTCAAGCCCCTAGGTACTGAATGTGTAGACCCCAGTGCCTAAAGACTTTTTACCGAAAATATCGGACAATGTGTAAGATATATATAATAGTTGAAATTCATATAATAAAATAAATAAATGAAACTCTCGATAATAGTATGTTTTTGGGTTAAAAATGGGTTGAATCGGATCAATACTTCCTCTAATATAAAATATTGCCAACGCCTGAAGTAATTTCCCAGGCTTTGATCCTTGCAAGTTGCGAGAGTATAAAATGTTCGGTTAGACCCGAACTTAGAACTTCCTTACTTGTTTTTCTTTGATATTAATTCAAGTTACACTTTTTGAGCGTCATGATCGATAAGTAAACAAATTTTGTTCTTTTATTGAATAAATGAGAAGTTAATACAGGAATTTTTAACATTGAAACTATAGGTTTATGGTAACTGAAATAAGAAACATGCGTTTGAGACTTGATATCCTCTAAATATCTGGAAAATAGCACGTCAATGCTGATCCCATATTTTGTTGTGGATGCTTGATATTTTATCAACGAAGTTGATGTTGAAATCTCCAGCCAAGATAAGCAGAAATTTATTACGATTGATAAACCGATTGAAATACGTAATTTCAATTGTATTGTTCAGGTCGAGAAAGTATTCCAAAAGGTGGGGTAGATATTTCACAAAATAATAATAATGCTACTAATATCATACTTTGTGATCGTATTAGGTTTATTTTCGTTACGGAAGTTCTTGATTCGGTCGCCGCGATAAAAGCTATTCAATAGCTTAAAAATTATTCGGCTGACTAGTTCGGCTTGCGGTCCGTATTAGTAGTACCACAAATATGTAAGGAAGCTCTAGGTTCGGGTGTAATCGAACATTATATATTCTCGCAAGGTAAAGTGATATACTGGAATTTCGTATATATTTTAATAATATAAATTAAAAGTAGGGGCAGACGGACCTACAGACAGTCACTCGGATTTAAACGCGTCTCGTCACCCTTATCATTTATATACATACATATAAGTATATATATATTAGTTTCAGGTCATACAAACAACCGTTAGGTGAACAAAACTATTATAATCTGTGCAACATGTTGCGGGAGCATAAAAATTGGTATAATTAATTTAATGGGTAGTTACAAAATATACAGACTTTTGTATGAACGTTATTTGAAATATTTAATTTTCTGCTTTTGTCATATATGTACATAGCACAGTTATTTATTATTTTTTTTTTGTTATAGTGCACCAAAATTATGTCGGTGTGGATACGGAGAAGAATCCTTACTTTCTTTCGGTTGTGTCGCAAGATTCGGGTCATCAGGGTGCACCAATGTTTCGGGCAATATTATTTCGGAAGCAGGTAAGCTGTACTGCTGGAAATAGTTTTAAATTTAAACCCTTAATAGTATTAATTATTGCAAAGTATCTATGTAGATATGACTACACAATTCTAAGAAACTCAATATACTAATATACCATATCGAAAATTTTTTGACTAAAATTAAATATTATAACAAATTTCACTTAAATCTTTAAGATACATCTAATAATATTGTTGACTTAAATCTTTAAGATACATCTAATAATATTTAACTTTTTACTTGACCTAATATATTTATAGACATAATTACTCTAACAAAAAATGATCATATGAGTCAGAAAGTTGACATCTCCAATAACCGCGTGGGGCATTAACTACATGAATAAGTAGGGAAAGGCTAGGTTCGGGTGTAACCGAAAATTGAAACTTGCAATGATCAAAACCGGGGAAATATCTTCAGGTGTTGGACAAACTTTATATTAGAAATGGTTCAACTTCATTGTTAGACGAAATGTTTAATGGATTACAATCAAATTAGAGATCATATTAACTTATTTTGAAGGTCAAAAACCCACTTAGTTTTATTACTATATTTTACTTCCCGTCAGGGAAATTATACTAAAGTCATTGAAGGCATAGAATATAAGGGCTGATTGCATTAATTTTTGACATTGCTCAAGTGTACTTGAGAACTTATGTTAAAGCAATTTTATAAATATATCAATGTAAACATACTAGAGAATGTAAACATACTCGATGCTGTGAATAAGGTATACATTAATTATAAACTATTCAATATAGCAAACTTGTATTTGTGAATAAAAACGATAACGTTATTTCCGGTGCAAGCGTAACCCTACGTATCACTTCCAAATTTAACAAGTAAGGAAGTTCTAAGTTCGGGTGCAACCGAACATTTTATACTTTCGCAACTTGCAAGGGAAATTATTTTAAGTGTTGGCAAAATTGTATATTAAAAGAAGTATTGATCCAATTCAACCCATTTTTGACACAAAAACATACTATTATCGAGTTTTTCATTTATTTATTTTTATACTCTTGCAACCTGTTGCTACAGAGTATAATAGTTTTGTTCACCTAACGGTTGTTTGTATCACCTAAAACTAATCGAGTTAGATATATGGTTATATATATATAAATGATCCGGATGAAGAGACGAGTTGAAATCCGGATGACTGTCTGTCCGTCCGTCTGTCCGTCCGTCCGTTTGTGCAAGCTGTAACTTGAGTAAAAATTGAGATATCTTTATGAAACTTGGTACACATGTTTCTTGATACCGTAAGACGGTTGATATTGCAGATGGGCGTAATCGGACCACTGCCACGCCCACTAAATGCCATTAATCAAAAACAAATAAATTGTCATAACTAAGCTCCACAATAAGATACAAGGCTGGTATTTGGCACACACGATCGCATTAGGGAGGGGCATCTGCGGTTAAATAGATTTGATGTGCAAATGTCCTAAACTGCTTAAGCTATAATAACGAAATTCACTGAGAACAAACGTTTTTAGGCACGGTGTGAAAATGGGTGAAATCGGGTGACAGCTCCTCCCACTCCCCATATAACGGTACTGTTAAAAACTATTAAAAGCGCCAGAGTCATTAAATTTTAGCACAGGGATCGCATAAGCTGATTTTATAGGAGCCGCGTTCGAAATTAGACAATGGGCGTGGCACCGCCCACATTTAGGTGAAAACCCATATCTTGAGATCTACTCAACCGATTTCAACCAAATTCGGTACATAATATTCTTCTCATATTTCTATGCTATAGGCGAAAGTGGGCGAAATCGTATTACAACCACGCCTATTTCCCATATAACTACATTTCAAATTCCATCTGATGTTTTCACTTTCCTGTATGCAAATCAAGCAACAATGATTATATCGGCGTAAAAAGTCAACTCTAGGCACTGAGGTTCATATATTCAGTACTTAAGGGCTTGAACAGTTTTGGTTCGATTTGGACAATTTTTGGTCACAAGGTGGCATAATTTAAACGCATTACTCACGCAAAGTTTTACTATAACATAGAAATAAAAAACAAATACTTTGCACCGAATTTGGTTGAAATCGGTTAAGCAGATCCCAAGAGTTTTATAAAGATATTAAGGGGCAAGACCACGCCCATTAAAAAATAAATTTAACTGAAAATACCCCTTTCTAATGTGATCCTGTATACCAAATAACAGTCTTGTATCTTATTCCGGAGCTTAGTTATTGCAATTTATTTGTTTTTGATTAATGGCGTTTTGTGGGCGTAGTAGTGGTGCCGTGGCATCGTAGTCCGATAACGCCTATATGCAATACCAACCGTTTACGGTACAAAGAAACATGTGTACCAAGTTTCATAAAGATATCTCAATTTTTACTTAAGTTACAGCTTGTACAGACGGACAGACAGTCATCCGGATTTCAACGCGTCTCGTCATCCTGATTATTTATACATGTTGCGTTCCAAAGTAAACAGGACCTTTAAAAAAGAGAGAACAAATGGTTTTTCGGTAAACTCAATTAATTTTATTCAAGATAGTCTCCTTCTGCTATAATACCGCTTTTTGCATAGTCCGAAAGCATGTCGAACGAGTGTTTTAGCTCGTTGCCCGGTATGGCCGCCAGTATGCCGGTGCAAGCCTTTTGAATGGCCTCCACGTCTGCATAACGCTTTCCCTTCATCGTCAAATGCATTTTTCCGAAAAGGTAGAAGTCGCATGGTGCCATATCAGGTTAAAATGTGATTTTTGGTCAAATAATCGGCCACAAGCGTCGATCGCTCCAGGCACGATTTTATGTGTTTCGGCTCGTCCGGCCCCTTCCATTCAGCACTCTGGCTTTTCGTTTCGGGATCATATTGAAAACACCACGTTTCGTCACCAGTCACAATCTTGTAAAGGAAGTTCGAGTATTTTTTTGCCTCTTTAATGATGTTTTTTGAATGTTGAATTCTGAGCAATTTTTGGTCGTCAGTCAATTTGTGCGGAACAAACCGTGCACACTCCTTTTGTAAGCCCAAATGTTCGGTCAAAATGCGATAAATCGATGTTTTGGAGATATTCAATTCTATTTCCATGAATTTTAATGATGGTTTCGGCTGAGTTTTTATGAATTCACGCACAGTTTCGATGGAATTTTCGGTGATCACGGATTTTGGTTGGCCTACATGTTCAACGTCATTTATGTTCTCACGACCACTTTGAAAACGTTGAAACCACTCGTGCACTCTGCTACGGGATAGGCAATCATTGCCATAAACTTGTTTCATCAATTGAAACGTTTCGGTTCAGCTGTTTTCGAGATTTGAGCTTAGCAACATATTTAGTGATTAATTTATTTTTAATATATAACAAGTATATTCGGTAACGCGGTGCTTTGGCTATGGTATACCTACATTAAATACTTTAACATATACAATAAACTTTAATACAGTGAAAATATTATTATATTTACGAATAAAGGTGAAAACGTAATTGCCAGTATAGATATAGAAAACGATTCATACAAATATTTGTCAATGGAAAAAATTATGAATTTCACTGCAAATATAATTTTATTTTTTTTTTGTGAATTTTGAAAACTTGCTTATGTTTAGAAGTATATTTTTTTATGAATTGTTTTTAATTTAAAAAATTTGAGATTTAAACTATCCTACCATTTTTGTTGGGTCAACGTGGATGTAGAGTGCTAAATTTGACCAAATTCGGTTCAGTAGTTTAGGAGGTAAACCCATTTTATATATTGTACATATAAATATACAAGTATGTAGATATATGGAGTGAAGTCAGCTGGACATTTCAAAATTGTGAATATCAGTTATATGGGGACTAAGGCAAGTTTTCTCCCGATTTTATTCATTCACAAAGATACACTGTTATTAGAAAAACATGCTTTCTCAATGTCATTAAAATATCTAGAACATTAGCCGGTATATGTGGTATAAAGTCAACTGGAAGTTCGAAAATCTTTATATTAGATATATGGGGGTTAAGGAAAGTATTGAACCGGTTCAATTATATGTATATCTCACAGATTGTCCAATATTTTTGGCAAAAGACCAGCTAAAGGCTTTAGGCTCTACATTTCCGGTATCTGGGGGCTTAAATAGGTATAGTCCGATTTAAACAATTTTTAGGCCTGAGATGGCATACCTTAAAGGAAATATTCGTTCAAATTTTTTTTCGATATGTTAATCTTTTCTACCCCACTTTTTACCTGTAGAATTAACATTAAATTTTCTTGTCTTTCTATTCTTTTTGTATTGGTCTAAGAAGTATTTGATATATTTATTTCTATTCAAAATTTAAGCGTGGTAAGATATAAAACAGTTTTTATTGTTGTTACAGCATAAGTGGACTTTACATTTAATGCACTTAGACATTGGAGTTCCTGTCTTACACAACCTACATCGTCTTTTTTCAGCAAATACCACCCAATGTTCCACTTTATCATAACGCAGAGAATTAGTAAGATCTGGTTGAAACTTTCTGTATTGATTCAAAGTCACACTGCTTGATGGAGAGCCCAAGGATATTATTAAGCTATGTCTTTGTGCGTTTAATGGCCGGCCTCTCTTTTTTTCGAAGGAAGTTGAGTCAGTACATTGTAGCAGCTCATGGGCAACTTCCATTTGAAATTTTATAAGCGGTGTATCTTTTGGTTTGGGTATAATAAATGCAAATGATTTCTGTATAGAAGCCATGCATTTGTCATTGATGTTCCCAAGCACCAATAAAAAATTCTGATGTACCATTTCCTGGAACGGTGGATGACTTTGTATGGCTCCTTTTTTTCAGTTCATATTTTGTATCGAAAGATCCTCCTACACGTTTTTTCAATTCTGTATCTAAAAGAAGTTTACAATTACTTATGCGATTTTTGCGGATAGTTCCAGTTGCAAATATGCCCATTTCCATTTTTGCGACTTGGAGTTTATTTGTAGGCATAGCAGTGGTTGGATTACGCCCATCTGCGAACTCGTCCTTTTTTGCCAAGGAACACGTGCACTAAGTTTCATTAAGATATCTCAATTTTCACTCAAGTTACAGCTTGTACAGACGGACAAACAGTCATCCGAATTTTAACTCGTCTTTTCATCCTGATCATTTATATAAACATATATAACCCTATATCTAACTTGATTATTTTTAGGTGATAGAAACAACGGTTAAGTGAACAAAACTATAGCTTCTGTAGCAACATGTTGCAAGAGTATATATATTAGGTACTGGTAAGCTGCCTGTGGGTGCAGAAAAAACGTACCATTTAGTGAAGAAAAAAGCACTATTCACCACGGGAACGCCCCGGCTCAGACGTGCCGCATTGGTCGAACTAGGCTGCGAAATGGTAACCCATTTACCGTATTTTTCAGATTTTGTTCCGTCCGGCTAATTTTTTCTTCCGAACTTGAAAAAGTCACTCGGCGGACAAAAGTATGAGTGTTTTAAGGAGGTTATTGCCTCAAAGGTCTACTTTGAAGACATCCAGAAAACGTATTTTTCAAACGGCTTAAATAAGTTGGAAATTCGCTGGGTCAAGTGTATCGAGCTAAAACAACAAATTCCACTTTTCTAAAATTTTTGATTTTCTTTTGGAGGCTAAATAATTAGTTTACCATCCTCGAAAGTATGTTGTCCAAATTAGGGCATTACAAAACATTTGTTCTTTTTTTTCAAGTTACAAATTCTATTTAACAATGACCTTTATTGTAGTTGTATTTTATATAACAGTATAAACTCTATTTATCTATCCCACTATAACTACAAATGCATCAAATTCGATTGTTTTACCTTTTAGGGTACACAGAAAATTGCACTACCTTTTCAATCTAATCAAAAGCTGACTGTGAAACAAATATTGGCACATTTTACTGGTATGGACGCATCAGCTAAAAATCCCAAAGAGATATATACAGCCGACATACAAAAGGACTTGCTACTACTTGAAGAGCAAGAGGGTTCGGTGAACTTCAAATTCGGTGTGATATATATGAAACCTGGTCAAGTTTGTGATGACGAAATGCTGAGCAATCGTAAGTAACAACAAGTAAGAAAAGACTTAGTTCGGGTCTAACCGAACAATTTTTACTCTAGCAATTTACATAGACCTAGTGATTGCAAATCATTAAATTAAAAAAAATTTTCATTGCATAAGAACTCAAAGTTCGTTTTTCCAAAAAACCGTGAATATATTACACCTCCGTTAATACGTTGTATCCTAGGGTTCCTAGGGGGGAGCATAGGACCACATCTGAGGCTTCTTTATTGTGGTTTCGGTTATAAAGTGAGTTTAAGATTCACAAGTTATCAGCCTGGTATCGAGGTGTCGATATTCGCTTTGTCATCCCTGGTCTATCTTACAGAAATTGGATGACGCCCCCAACTCGCTATATTAACTCGCTTAGCTTCATTACTTAGTTTTGCTTCATGTCAGGGATATTTAATAGATAAAATAATATTAATCTTACTTACACAAATCGCTATATTATTCATATTAGTGTTGGGGAAAGGTAGATAGTAAAAAATTTTACTACCGAATGACATAATACTAAGCGAAACATTTTTGCTTAATTTTATTTACGCGATATAAATTCAACTATTAGAATAACATTTTATATATTGGGTATATAAGAGAATAGTCAGTCGAAAAGATGGAATTAATTATTTATATAGGTTATATGAGATATGACAAAAGTCTCGACGGAATTCAATAATTTTTAACGCTAGTCATATTATGATTAGGAAAAAATGTCCACTTAATGTCATTTTAATACCACACATATTGACCAATAAAAACGGTATATAGTCAACTAAGAAAGTGAAAATCACTATATCTGGTAAATTGGGCCTAGGTCTGATTGGCTTTCATTTTCCTCTGACATTAAACTCAAGTATGCTCGAACAAAAGTTTCCACGCAACTTTATTAAGATAAGTCACAATTTGACCCGTATTTTCTGTGTAAAATCGACTAGATCGATTAAAAGCATTGTTTGTAGTATATGGGGTAGGGTTATTCGTGGACCAGTGTTATTCATATTGACCTATATAATCATTATATTAGAAGTGTGGGAGCTAGAGGAAGCATTGACACCATTTTATCCATTTTGGGCGCCATGGTACAGGAAACAATTACTTCTAAATTTTATTCAGACATCCCACATACTGGCCAATATTTTCGGTACAAAGTCAGCTAAATACACTGAGGCTATCATATTCCGTATCTGTGGGTCATGTGAAAGTATGGTACGATTTCAACCATTGAACCATGAAAAGTATTTTGAAAGCACATACGAAGTTTTGTGCCGCTATCTTCATTTGTTCTTGAGTTCTGTACTGTAAAGTGAAGTAATTCGATGTAATTCAATATTGTGATATATGAGAAGTAAACTTGGTTGTAATCAGATTTTGGAAAAAGCTTTCAATAATTTGAATATGTATATTTAGCCCATTAGGTGGAGGAGCTGTCCGCACTGATATCCCTTTTATCAGCTTTTGTTATCATATCTTAATTTGTGATTTAGTAATATCACTTTATCCTATTTTGAATTAAAGACACTTTGTGGGCGTAGCTATGCCTCCTCCATAGTTATCGCTTGCATATCCAGTACTCGTTTCGTCTCTTCATATTTCGTAATGTTGATATGCTCGTATATAACGGGTGATCCAAGTAGAGGTACTTTTTTCAATAATGTTTTTTGGCAGATCACGCGTGAGTCGTGTAAAGCTGTTATGTTATTTTTGTTCTGTATTGTTTGGCATTTCATGGAAAGACTTACTCCTGAACAACGTTTACAAATCGTTCAATTTCACTCAATGAATGGATTTATTGAGAGAACACTTCGGGGAGCATTTAATTTCACGTTTTGGGCTGGTCGATTATAAAGTCTATGCGGACAATTCCGCTTCGATTCAGGCAAAACATCACGCGTGTCATTCGCCAGTTGCTAGTCGGAATGCTCGAACGAGTCATTGAAAATTGGACTCTTATTTAAAAGAGATAATCTTCAAAAAATTAATGGCAAAGAATATTCTTTCGAATAATAATAAACATTCCCCATTAAATTTAAATGTGTTTTTTCCTTTAAACAAGTAGGAAATCTCGAAATGGATCACCCTTTATAGATGATACAAGCAACAACAATATGAAAAAAACTATTATACTGTGTACAATATATTGAGAGCATAATAAATAAATATACATATGTATATGGTGTATATATTATATATTATTCTGACTTCATAGAAAATAAAGATGTGGTTACAAGTTAAAAATTCAATATTTTAAATTAAATAATTTAAAAATTATTGAAAAGATAGTATGTTAAATTGTCTAAGTCTAATTGACTAAATGTATTGTTTACTTTGGTATATGTACAATATACATATGTATGTATAAGTAAGAGGTACATGCCTTATTTATACAGACAGTATACATATGTACATAAACCGAGCGCAAGATTTCAGTCAATTTATTGAACATCTCACAGTTGTATATGAATATATTTCTAACTATGTATATACATACATATTAATAATTTGCATATATTGAACTTCTACTGTTATGTTTCACATTTTTTAAACAGAAGATGCAAGTAAAGACTTCGAGAATTTTCTGCACATACTCGGGGAACGCATACGCCTTAAAAGTTGGGATCGCTTCCGCGGCGGATTAGATGTAAAAGGTATTTTATATGAATAAATTACATGACTCATATAATAGTGAAATATTATAGTATATTCTGTGATCATGCATTCGAAATTTACAATATACAATGAAGAATACAATGAAGAATAGTTTATAAAATGTTAGAAAATATTAAGATAATGAAATTATTTACAGTAGTATAGTATATTTGTCCGATCTGGCCGATTCCGATAAATGATCAATAGAATGTCAAAATGCATCTATGTATTAAATTTCATTCGAAAATGACGAAGAAATTTTTTTAGTCCCGAAAAATTAAACTTTACCTAAAAAATCGCTGGATCGAAACCGGGTTTCTCTCTTATGCAAAGTTGTTCAGAATGATACGTAGAACATTTCCTTCATACGCGATTTTTTAGAAAAAAAATCGACCCACTAATCACACGTCTTGGCCGTCAAAGGTTAATGAATGGTCAAAGCGGCAAATAAAGCATTTGGCAGTGAATAAAAGTATTTCCCCAAACATTAAGCACCAACTAAATTTTGAAGTGTCCACCCTGTCCCGGGTGCGGCAAATTTTAAAAGAAAATACTAACATCCAGTATGCTAGGAGGCAATATGCTCAAAGGAACTTGTTGTGGGAAAATGGGAAAAGTGGTTTTTAGTGACAAAAAATTTTAATCTAGATGGCCCCGATGGTAACGACAAAGATTGGAGAGATATTCGACGACCGCTGAAATCAAGCCATTCAAGAAAATTTCAGGGAGGATCCTTCATGGTATGGGAGACTTTTGGCTACAATAGGGCTCCAATTTGTTTTATAACACATAAAATGAATGCAATGAATTACATTGATCTCTTAGACAATGTTTTAATAGACTTTTCGGAACGGTTTTGTGGATTTTTCAACAAGATAACGCTACTATACACAATGCAGCTGCAACAAAGCGTTTCTTTTCAGATAGAAATACATATACCATTAATGAATTGGTTGGCCATAAGCCCCGACTAAAGCCCAATGAAAAATCTATGGAAGATACTTTCGCAACAAGTTTACTCCAGTGGTCGTCAATTTGATTCCTTGAGGGAACTCAGAAAGTGCATTGAAGACGAATGGAAAAAAATACCGCTATCCACCCTTCGCTCCCTGATTTAATACATGCCAAGACGTGTAAATGCTATTATGTTAGCTAACAATAAACATATAAATTTTAAAAATTTTAATTAAGTTTGATTTAAAATAAAAAATTTGTTTCTATGCTATACTTTTTTCGTACGAAGAGAATAGTTTTTCTGTATTTTTTTCTTAACGAGAGCAATAGGAGACGAATTGTGTTCCATCAGGACAACGCCAGGTCACGCACATTGATAGTGACTCGGCAGAAGCTGTGGGAGCTTTGTTGGGAGGTGCTTATGCATCAACCTTATAGCCCGGACCTGGCACCAAGTGATTATCATCTGTTTCTGTCCATGGCGAACAATTTTGCAGGTGAAGAATTCGCTTCAAGAGAGGCTTGTGAAAATCGACTGTCTCAATTTTTTACCTATAGAAACGAATGCTTCTATGAGAAAGGCATAATAAAATTACCCTTAAAATGGCAACAAGTTATCAAACAAAACTGCGCATATTTGACCCAAATCGGACCATTCTAGCTATGGTAATTTAACCCTTCAATTTCATTCAAAAATAATGGATTTATTTTTACTACACCTATATTATACGTTTCCTGGTATGGATTTTAGAATGACGGAAATTCCGATATGAATGCAAATAATGATAGAAACTCAGGATAAAAAACGAATCATTCGGCACAGGTTTCCTCAAATACTCTACTATTAAACCGGCCAAATACCTCAACAAGGCAAGGATCTTGTATAATGTTTTGGGATAGTATGCTACAAAATTCAAAACTTTAGGCTATTAAAATTCATAAAGTTTCAATTTACCTATTTTTCTTCCAAATTTTATTTATTGGCTTTAAACTTTATTAAATTCCAAATTTATCAAAAATATTTGTAGAAAATAACGTTTTTCGTTAGTGCGGTCAATTCGCAGAAATCGTTTTTATTTGTTTGCAAATGAACGCATGTTCAATTGCAATCATTAATGCGTACAATTCAGATGGTTTTTTCGATCTTATTAGGGGCGTCCAAAAATTACGTGAGGTGTTTTTTTAAATTTTCTATACCTTACTTCCTCACATGGTGAGATGCCGTGAGATTTTATTCAACCCCCTCCCCCATCCCTCAATCTCACGTGAGATTTTTCAAAACGTGGGTTTCTTACGTAAACGCGTTAGATTGTTATTGCAAAAACAAACAAAAAATTGGCTTCGTACTTTTATTTACGACTAGTTAAGACTAGTAATCATCATCGCTAAGAGTTTAATTATAAGTGTAATAAAATGTATCAATATAATACTTAAATCGTAACTACTGTGATTAAAAAACGAATATCTACATCAATTCAGTCCATGGAGAATCATGCGCGGTTTCAAGAGAGACTATTGGAACCAACATGTCCATATGATTTTCAGTAAAATCATTTGCTCCTTCAACTTCGTTCTGATTTAGCCGCTCTAAGCCGTTGGAGCTTATGCACAGTAAGTCATTAGCTGGTCTTGTAACAATCCGTGAGAGTCGCACTTTGTGGAACACACGCACTTACTTAGCTAGTGTAATGTGGGCTGCTCGCCTGTGCTCTGCAGCTCTTGTGATAGATGCAAAGTAAATACTGCATGTACTATAGCATCTTTTCTCTAAATCATCGCGTACACTTGGGCAATAGAGATTATAAGGCGTGCTGATGAAGACATTCAGCGGTTGAATCAGTAGGCAGTGGCGCGAAAACACTGTACCGTAAATTCAGATTAAATTGAGCTATTTTTTATAAAACAAATATGGTGGTTTGACAGTCAGTAGATGTATAACGTCGAAGTATGAATGAATTTATTATTTTTCGAACGAATTAGTAAATGATCTTAATCTTATAACGATTACGCTAAGGATTAAACATTAAGCATTCACAATCTGGATTAAGTGGACCAAAATAGTATAATATTTTTTGCTGCAATCAGAAAAATAATTGTGTGATATTTGCCGAGACCCCCCGTCTCTCCCCAATGTAAGATTATATGAGACTCTGTGCTCACTGAAAAAAAGAAAACCGTATTGGTACTTTAGCTTGCCAATCATAGTCGACAGACGCCAATCCCATATAGAAGTTCGGACTTTAGTGAAAGGCAAAATATCAGGAAAACCTTTAACGTCAACAAAATATTTCATTCGACTACTCCAAGATACCTGGAAGTCGCGGAAAATATGCGAAATATGCGGAAAATTGAGTTGCAAGATGCCATGATAGATATCAGACTATAATAGACAATGTGGGCAATTGGAGGCAGTGTTGAATAAACGTCAGCTATGTATAACCAAACAATGTATTTTCTATAATTACAAAATTTTTTCCAATAAACGCTACCTACAGAAAACGTTATTAACGTACGCACTGTATGAGCGTAACAGTGATATAGAAAATTACTTAAACGGACATTTTTTTAAGTAAACATGTTTTTCGAATATATTATCTATAGGGGAACCGAACACCCTAAAAAGATCGGTAACGTATTACACAAAGCGAAATAACGTAAACTTAATAAAACGGAAAACAAGCAGAAATTATCAAGGCAACATTTAAAAGTTGCTATTAATAATCACATTATAACAGCTATGCCAAATGAAAAGTAAAATTTTGACAGTTGAAGTTCAAAACAAACGCCACTGCATCGTTTGAATGTTTGCCTTATTATTTAAATTTTTAAATATATTCGTAAAATAAATCGAATTAAAAGCAAATAATTTGTTTGCCAATAACTGATAACTAGAACAATTTCATTAATTTGAAGATTTGATCTTAGTTGCAAACTTTAGGCACTAGTACATTGTTACGCTGCTTTCATTGGGTACACATGTGCACATACCATACATAATTATATCTTCATATATACATGAATACAATTACATTAAGATCTTTTAATTATCTACAAAAATATTATTCTTACTTAATTATTTAATCTTATTTATTTTACAATATCTTTTCTAAATAATACAAATTCAAAAGGAGTCAACAACTTTCCTTATTTAGAGTATCATTTCTGTTTTGAATGGAATAAATAATAACATAAAAAAATGAATAACTACGAACTTATAATATACAGTGAATCAAAAAAAAAACTTGTACAGCGAGATGGTTTGTCTTTGAAGTGAATTATCTCCTAAACTATTAAAACTTGTGAGTGTCATTAAAAAGTGAGAAAAAAACCGATTTATTCATTTTCATAATGTAATGAAAATTAATTTTTTAAAATCCAGTTCTTCAAAAAAATAAAAATTCCAAATAACTCCTTTTTCGAAGACCAAAATAAAACTTGTACAGTTTGCATAAATTGACATTTTAAGACTCTTTAAGGAATATTAATATAATACGTTGTGTGTGCATCTTTGATCTCTATGATGGTTTATAGAATTCACCAAATTTTGTGTAAGTTCAGGAGCCATATTTGCCCATATATCCTGAAAAGTAGCCTTAACTTAATTTTTGCTATTAACTTTGCGCTCTCGTAACTTCGTCTCCACATAGGCCCACAGGTCTTCAATGGGATTGAGGTCTGGACTCTGGGGAGGATGTGGCCGAACTGTTTTCATGTTATACAACAAACATTCCTTAACCACTAAAGCAGAATGCTTCGGGTTTTTATCCTGAATAAAGCAGTAGCCACCATTTAAATTGAATTTAGCTGCTGACGGAGCCAATTATAATATTACCTCGTAGTCCGTAATTCCTTCGAAGAAAACAAGGTTACCGACGCCATTTGCAAACACTGCACCCCTTTTGGTTTCATTGTACCACACACCACACAATACAGCCTCCACCATGCTTGACAGTATTATTTAAACTTTAATCTCAAAATTCGTTATAAAGAGGGATTTACTCTTTGGAATATAGTAAACGTTTATTCGTTAATTGTGGCTTGTTTTGTAACGCTCTATAATCAGGTAAAAGCAAGAAGTTCCGTCAGGGGCACCTTTACTTTCAGCCTGAAGCGTGTAAATTTTTTGGGGCCATCTGCCTCTGCAAACTGGTCTTCCAGTCCACCAGTCTTTTTGAATTTAGCAATAATGTACTGAACAATAATACGTTCTTCTTTTTTAAACATTGACTATTTCGCGAGTCCTTTTGTTCTCTTGCCAATATTTGGCTACCAGAGCCTGTACGCAAAAAAATACCAGACAAAAATAACGGTACCTACTTGATAACTGTTTTTAAAGTGTTGTCAACGTAAGTGTACAAGTTTTTTTTTTTGGCTTCTGAAAGGGGTATTTTAATTTTTTGCAATGGTTAAGATCAAAATGACTTATTGTTAAAATTTTTATTAAAATACGAAAAATACATAAGATTTTCATATTGTTACTCTTGGTTGCAGCTTAAAAGCTAAGGTAACATAGTTTAAAAAAAAAGTCGCTTCAAAGTCAAACAATTTTTCTCTACTTATGTTTGGTTTTGGTTCGCCGTGCATATTTTATAACATACTTGTTACGCATTTTTTTAAATTTTTTTATTCCTGAATGCATATTTGTATTGATATTTATAAGTTGTCAAAATTTTCCTCTAACATTCATCACGAAAAACGTCAAAACTCCATTTTCATCTGTCAGCATTTTCATTTTTCTACCGTTTGGCACACAGCCTCGGTATCTACTGAGGTGCTCGGCGGGCAATGAGCTGCCGACCACTAAGGTAGTGAATTCTTTAGTCTAGTGTCACAATTTCACCCAATCGAACTCTTAGTTTTGTTAGAGCTAAAGAGATGTCAAACTCTCATGTCATTGGAAGTAAGTGAGAGCGTAAGTAACCTCCTGAACTTTTACAGTTGAGTTGAGCTCAGGAAGTTTTGACGTTTTGCAATTGGAATAAAAGGGACGGCCAGATTGAGATCTTACCATAAAAATATGTGAAAGGAGAGATTTTTTGCCGCTGTTCAAGATCACTAACAAAAATTGTAAAACAATGAAAATAAAGAAAAGGCGAAATTGAAATATTTTGTGATGTCATGCTTCGTAGTAATGATTTTCCATTGAAAAACATATATTAATTGAGAGCTAATACGTTTAAATCCCCTTATTTCTCATATTGAAAGTTCAAAAATCAGTTGTTTTAATATATCACAAAATTACAAAAAAGGATATATGTATATAATAATTTTTTAATTTAAATGCCCAAAAATTTTTATTTTGTCTAATCTGGCTATAATGGAAAATATTATAAACAAGTAAGGAAGAGCTAAGTTCGGATGTAATCGAACATTTTATACTCTCACAATGTTAAATGGTTCGTTTGAGATTTCTTTGTGGATTGACCGATATTTTCGGTAGAAGGTCAACTATAGGCACTGGGGTCTACATATTCAGTACCTATGGGCTTGAACAGTTTTGGTTCGATTTAGACAAATTTTGGTCACAAGGTGGCGTACTTTAAACTTATTATTCACGCAAAGTTTTACCCCGATATAATCATTGTTGCTTGATTTGCATAATGGAAAGTGCAAAAATTAGATGAAATTTAAAATGGTTTTATATGGGAAATAGGCGCGGTTGTACTCCTATTTCGCCCATTTTCGTACTGTAACATAGAAATCTGAAAAGAATATTATGCACCGAATTTGGTTGAAATCGGTTAAGCAGATAACAAGATATGGGTTTTCCCATGGGCTCACTGTCTAATTTTAAACGCGCTTCCTATAAAGTCATCTCATACCATCCTAGAGATAAAATTTAATATCTCTCGCGTGTTTAGTGCTTGGCTTATCGTGCTTTCAGTATTTTTTAAAAGTTGTGGTATTATTACAACATTACAGGTACCATTTTCACATTGAAGGTAGGGGTGCTAAAAACATTTGCTTCCAATGAATTTTGTTATTATAGCTTTAGCGGTTTAGGAGACATACACATTAAACCTATTAGGGGGCGGGGCCAAGACCACTTTAAAAAAAATTTAAATTGCAGATGATTCTCCCTAATGTTATCCTGTATACTAAATAAGAGTTTTGTATCTTGTTGTGGAGCTTAGTTATGGCAATTTATTTGTTTTTGATTAATGGCGTTTTGTGGGCATGGCAGTGGTCCGATTACACCCATCTGCATTACCAACCGTCTTACGGAATCAAGAAATATGTGTATCAAGTTTCATAAAGATATCTCAATTGTTCTTCAAGTTACAGCTTGCACCGACGGACGGACAGACGGTCACCCGGATTTCAACTCGTCTCTTCATCCTGATCATTTATATATACATAACCCTATATCAAACTCGATTAGTTTTAGGTGATACAAACAACCGTTAGATGAACAAAACTATTATACTCTGTAGCACCAAGTTGCGAGAGTATAAAAATGCTAATTTTGAGACGATCTCACACTGGAATAAGTTTGGCATCCCTTTATGTTATCCCTGGTTTTGTTTTAGTAGCATATGGGAACGTGTGTGGGGGTGTCTGCGGATTTTCTGAAGAAGATTACTCTGAAGAAGGCCAAGAATTTCTTGTTGTCCACATTGGTCGAACTAGGCTACAAACTGTTCCCCATACAGACATGCCTCCGAAAAAGTCACTCGTCGTGCATAAATTATAGTCCAATGCGGTGGTTATCTCCACCTTGGCGCCTATTTTCAAGATCTACAGAATGTGTATTTTACAGACGTGTTATAAAAGTTGGAGAATCGCTTGGTGGAGAAAAATAGAACTTTCAACCAAAAAATGTAAACATTTAGGTAACTATATATTATACATATATAGAGCTCTGTTTCTTATTTTCCTATCTGAACGTGATTCGAGATGGGGAAATAAGTACCAAAAATTTATACTCCCAATATAATCTTTTTTTTTTATGAGAAATACACAAAATCAGAAAATAGTAAAAAAGATTATGTAATATTAGTATAATACGAGTAATATTTTCAATTTTTTAATGCTCACCATATTTGTATGTTGCCATGTAAACATAACAGGCGATATGACCGGCAAATATTCTATATATACGCTATATGAAGGACACGAAATAATGTTTCACGTATCGACGCTTCTACCATATTCCCAGGATAATCGGCAACAGGTACATATGAAATTATTGAAAGAAGTTTTTTTTGTCACTTTTTGAACAGCCAAAAAATCATAACAATTTAATTATGTTTACCCACAGGTGGAACGGAAACGGCATATTGGCAATGACATTGTTAACATCATTTTCATTGACCAGCCAACCGCAGTCCAAATCAACATGCGGCAAACGGACGCAAACGATAAAGATAACATCGAATTTATACTGCCGACAGCATTTGATCCCACGTGGATCAAGAGCCAATTTACACGTAAGCATAAGACATAAAAGACATAAAATTACATGTAATTCAAATTGTTTCTCAAAAAATAATCCAATGGAGTAAATAAAGCAGATTTTTTTTTGAATACTAATTCTGGAATTAATTATAACCACTTTCACAGATATATTTGCGGTGGTTACAAAACTCAACAATGCCTACCGTTTGGCAGTATTTTGCGATGAAAATGTGCCGCCCTTTGGACCGACTCTTCCAAATCCACCTGAATTTACGGTTAGTGTTCTAAAAATAATGTTGTTAATATTGTCATGCCAACTAGTTTACTGTAATTATATTATATTTTATAAGAGAGTTAATGTGTCAGATAAAATCTATAGGCAAAAATGAATTAGAAATACAATGTACATTGCACATTCGCCAGCTACAACTAATGAACACTTTGAATTGTAGCAGTATTTTATTTATTTTGAAATAAAAATGCCATATTTATTAGTTACGTTACTGTTTTTCTTTTTTGCGTTTTTAAAAAATTAATCATAACACACATAATGTGTCTATTCGGTGATCTAATTTGAAAATACATATAATTTTAAAAATACTAGGTTGGGCCAAAAAATAAGTGTATCTTTCTAAAAATCTATTTAAAGTTTATAATTTGTCTATAGAACCTGCTAAAACGAAATAACTTGTTTAGTCAAATAAACAACAGATATGATACCGAGAGTTATTGGGAAATTTTTTTTATCCATATTGTTATAGTACATCATTTTCTCCGTCTTTTTTAAGTTTGACTACATTATGTATAATTTTAAGTTTTAATTTTTTGCTAATAAATACATATTCATTCACGAACTTTGTTAAAATTTTGCTCACAACTACCCACTGCACACTATATTACCTAACATCAAGCGTTAGATTAGCTACATATACACATTTTTGGCGAAAAATTAACATTTTATTCAAAACTGAGATGTATTTTAAGCCTAAAAAGAAAATTTGAGTTGAAAAACATTATAATTAATTGCCTAAAACACATGATTAGCCTAAAGCTTTTTATAATTAATATTTTAAGCTGTTTCAAAATTTAAAAACTATCGCAGTGAACCGTTTTGAACCAATGGCGTAATGATTTTAAGTTGGAGTTTTTTTATTAAGCTACAGTTATGACACATAAAATAAGTAAGAAATTAATAAATAAACTTATAAGAAGCAGATTCGATAACAGTTGAATTATTTATCAGTTTATTTATCGTCATCCTAACAACTAATATAATAATATATTATCAAAAATTTGAGGCGGCGTTGTTATTTGATAAAAGCTGTTAAAAAGTCGATGAGTATGCATTGAAAATATATATCCTTTCAAGCGTTTTATGTGATTCATCGCGAGCAAATATAGGGTGACTGTCGATTGAACTCCGGAGTGAAATGGTGGATCCATGTGTCATCCATTGGCAAAGAATGGATTAACTACAAATGAACGCCTCCAAACAGTTAACCGAAATATCAATCCATTTTGTTTTTAGTAACTTGTAGCACCCATTTTACACACATTTTTCGGAGGTACCAAAATATTCCCAATCGTTCAAAATTCACATCTCTTTAATTTCGTAGTTTAGTTTGAATAAAAATGTTAACTCTCTATTTGATTTTTTTATTTCCGCTAGTAGTATACATTTGCACACTTTGCATCAATTCGAATTTCCCTTAAAAATGTAATAATATCTTGTTCATTGTTTTTCTTTCAAACAGGATATTTTCATGTTTCGCGAGTTTCTGCTTGTAAAAATGATAAACGCGGAAAAAGCCACTTTTCAAACACCAATATTTTCAAAAAAACGAGAAAGAACTTTGGATATGTTAATAAAAGACTTATACGACGACTATATGGGTGATAGTAAACTGGTAAGTTGTATTTATATAATACTTACAAAATCAAAATTTATTGACCGTAAAACAATGTCTAAAGAATTAACCTGCAGAGCATCATATAAATATATGGTATTTATGATAATTTTATCATTATTTACTGGGTCAATATAAAATGTTGTAGCTGCGTTTATCAACAGCACACTAGCTGCTGAAAAGCGTTCGGAGAATTTATGACTTCAATTATCTTATATATCCAGGTTTCAGTTTGTCAGATTTGAGCATATGGAACTAGAGGACTACTAATTAGAAATCAAATGAAATTCGTTTGTGTTTGGTTTGAAGTCTAGAAATATATCGTATTGTCCTGGTCGAAGCTGAGGAGATAATAATGAAATAAAACCACACGATGAGGTAATGTTGTTAGGCACATAAGTGGGCAATGTAAACCTTTTATGTTACATAGATTAACATTTTTGATTAAAAGTCTCAGAAGTTCGCTGGACAAGTTCCTTAAGCTGCCAACAGACATGATTATTTTTTATACCGAATATTTCTATATAGACTAGTGCTAAAGGCTTTGAAAATGATACAAAACCAAATATAAAAATTATAGTAGAATACACATCGGAAACGAAAGACAAAATGACAAACATCAAGGGAAAAATAATTTACGGGCGAAATAAGGTCGGGAAAAGGAAGGGGAGGAGCTAAATTTTTAAGGGCAATAATCTCTTATCCCGGCAAAACTATGAGTCCTATAGAAATGGTTATATGTCAATATTGTATATATTATTCTCTCCTCAAAATTTATGTGAAAAAGTATTTGGATTTTTATTTTTATCTTGTACAAACATTTTTTTTCTTACACGAAATTTGGTGTAAATTTAACTTCGTATGTCTCCAACACACTGTGTTTTTATTTATTTAAAATATTTATTGTTTTCTTCTGTATTTTGCCCTAATATCGAATAATTTAATTTTAAGATTAGACCTTTTCATTACCTACAACATTGAAATATACGTTTTTTCAATAGGACTCGTAATTTTGCCGGAAATCGAGATAAGCCCTTCTTAGCCCTTGATGTTTGTCATTTTGTCTTTCGTTTACGATGTGTTTTAATCTACTATGATTTTTTTTGTTTCTTCAAATTATCTACCCTGGTCTAATATTAATTAAGGTAGTTTTATTACTTAGCAAAATTAAGATATTATTCGTTTATGTCGAATTCTCTAGATTTAGTGATTTATAGAGTATTATTAAAAAAAAAACAAGTCTTGTGAGCGTGAGTTCAACATTCCACTTGTTGTTTCACGAGTGTAAAGGGATATCTGTAATAGCACCAGCATGTATTTCGTAGTATTAACATGGAAGGTCTATATACTTGTAATATGACAATAAAGTGAATACTCCGTTACAACAACAATAGACGGTCAGATATTCCAGTACTTACCCTACCCTTGTGTACTAATATCCACTACAAATTGTCTCAATACAAGTATATTTAACTTCTAATTTTTATTACAGAATATGCTAAATAGACGCGCATTCTCTGAAGTTCTCTACGATGTGCCCCGAACATCAAAATTAAAAGAGGACGCGCGACAGATTGAGTTCGTGCGCATCGGTCAGGCACTGAAATTAGAGGCTATCGTGCGAGGCGATGCGCCGACCAGTATTGCCTCCGCTAGCCCCTGCACAATATTTCGCAATCCACCGTGGGAACCACATTGTTTTTATCCAACATTTTTGCATCGTGGAACACTGGTAGGCGACTCATTCGGTTCCAACGACGAAAACTTATTTATTGCCACTGATGATGGAACATATCTGATGAAAGGTAAAATAAATGATCTTAAATTAGTACATTAGAGGGCGTAGTAGTAGAACGTAGTAATTTGCATTAATTGGAGATTGACTGCTGGGTGTTCTGGTTTTTGTGATAAAACCTTATCGTGCGTAGTCCAGATGCATAATGAATATTACGCATACTTCCGACCTATTGTATAACCTAAGTGATTAATAATATTCATATCCTTTTCGAAAACAAATTTATTATACATATGTATATTCCAATTTATTTATTATGTATGTACACATGGGAGGATTGTTAAATCAATCGCAATTTGAGCATTTGCAACCTTTTGCAGAGGATCAATCGCATCAGTTAATCTTTGACAAGACATTTCAAGTGCGACAACTAAGCGTGCTGGAAGACCATGGAATTGTGCTCATACGCGGCGGCTCACTAACTAATCGTGACGCTCATCGCATTCACGTCTTTCGTTTGCGTGAATTTCAGCTCAATAATGGCGAGGAAACTTTGCGTTGCCGCAGTCGCGCCGAGGTGAAGGAACGCCGTATCGAACGCACACGCGGATGTCATTTGTTTGCAAGCTCACGTAGTAGTGGCGGCCATTTGAGGCTGATGGTGGCAGTCAACCGCAAATTACAGTTATTTCAATGGAAGCATTCAGCCGCCTGGGCGTCGTGGTGTCCGAAAAACGACACAGAAACAGTGGAAGGATTCATCTATCAAAAGGAAATCACGCTGTGTGAGTCGCCAAGCTTAATAACGCCACTGGAGGGACCGACGAACACAAACGCGGGTGGACTGATTTGCGTAGGCTACAAGTGAGTATCTGATGAACACAGGATGGTTAATTCTATAACCAGTAAATTTTTTTGTAAAAACAATTTACAATTTGTTTTACTATAATCTAATGAGAATTTGTTAACTAATTGCTGCATTTAGATACCATTACGAAATTGTCTGTGATCAAACGGGAACAGCCAATAGACTCTATGATTTGGAATCGGCAAAAAGAAATCAAGCACAATTGACGGCGGCCATTGAACTCTGTGATGGCATGGAAACAGAATTACTGTTGTGTTATAATCGTAAGTTGTCTATTCCGTTTTTAGTCCTTATTCGGAAACGATATACCGTATCATATCAGCAGTATATAGTCTTCGCCTCGACATACCATATAATCTGAAGTTTCTACTTCCCTAGAAGTTTCGAATGTTTTAATGATTTCATACCAATTAGCAGAGCTGATATTCCTTATTTCAGTAGATCATGTACTCGTATACGTATTTTATCTCACTTTTACACTATAAAATTACCGCAATTTTTGACCTTATTTGATCATTCGCAAATTTCTTTTGCCCCACAGATACTTGCCATTTTCAGAAGTTGAGCAGTCGATCTGACACAAAAAACAACTTCGACTTCCACTGGAACACATCACCGACCGCTGTTGTTTGTGCCTTTCCCTATATACTTGGTTTCACATCAGACTCAATGGAAATTCGACTATTGGTGAACGGTAACTTAGTGCATACAGCAATAATGCCGGAATTACAGCTGATAACCTCTAAGCGAGACATATTTTTTGTTACAACGGCCCCAGAATTTATGTCTAAAGATCTTCACATTAAAGGTTTGCATATACATGAGTTTTCAGCATCGGAACGTCGGTTAGGCACCACCCCGAGCGAAGCATCTTCTAATGAGGAACTCTCTCGAGGTGAACAGCTTTGCTTAACTCCCAAAGACATACCAATAAATCCAGAACATGAACTAACCAATTTGCTAGAGATACCGAACGCTAGCGGATCATTGCCACACATACATCGAGCCCGTTCGCTCCAGAAAACCCACAATGTGTACGAAGATAAGCCGGTAATAGCTAAAAGTAATTCTTGTGGCGACACAGACAACCGTTTTAGTGGATTACGCAACACTTCAAAAGTTGGCGAACACTTACAGCAACAACAGCTAACACAACATGGTGTACCGCCGAATTCGCCGCGAAACAATAATAGCGGCAGCAGTAATAGTAATAGCAGTAAGAGCAGCCAACTGTCGCCCATGTCGCCCACCAGGCGAACTTCTAAGTATCGAAATCTCTTCAATAGTGTCACAAGCAGTGGTAGTGGTGGTGGTAATTCACCTAACCTCACTGATAGCTGCTCTCGTTCCCCAGATCGTATGAAGCCATTGCGAGTCTATCGCATTCCACTCGTCAAGTTGACTGGTGTTCATTCACACTTTCATATGCATGCATTCAATGCAACAGCTGTCGCAGGCGTTGCGTCTCAGACACATCCAACACAGCATCTAAATGCTTTATCGATGACGAAGCGTCAAAAGTCTGTGGATACGCAGCTGTCATTATCGATGAGCAGCTATACCGATTGTTTGTATCATGAATGACAAAAACGCGAAATTAAAACGAATAATGAGATTACATCCACAACCATCAACACAAAGCAACTTCAACAGCGCCAGGCACAAGAAGCGTTGATGGCAACACCCTTAATGCGGGAACACAATTCCATGGATCTTCATTTTGGTGAGCGCGATTGTTATGACGACAATAAGTTTCGTGAGGACGATGAAGCCTATGCCGACGAAGTTCCCCTGCTGTTAAATGGAAGATCCAATGCATTCAGAACGCGCAAAAGCAAACCAACGTCATTACCATCGAATGAGGTACAAATGTGGCTGACAAAGGAGCTACGCAGGTTTCAGAAAAATCTATCGCAAGAAAATTAGTGAGAAAGTTGTAGTGAATGGGGAATAAAAATTTAACGCAGACGAATGACGTACATATAAGTGCAACTGATTCTTAGCTTAAAGTTAAATAACTAAAATTTCTTTTTCATCACAATAAGTCAGGGTAAAATGTACGACATTCATCTTAATATTTGCGTGTTTTTCTTCTTCAACATTTCAGAATCACTTTCCTATATTTTTGTATAATCTCCGTCAACGCCTTCTTCAAGTAAACCGACCACTCATTTACTCATGTTACTGTTACCACAAAAGTATATAAATCATGCTTTTTAGAGTTATCGAACAATTATTGCAAATAAAAAACAGAATATTGAATGGAATGGCAAATATGTACATAGGTACATATGTTTGCTTCATTGGTATGAGCTTATTGCTTGAACCAGCGTCTCGCCAAGATCATAGCAATTGTCACATTTGATTGGTCAGCTATATTTGGTTTATCAACAAAGTCCACTTACTTGGCGCACTCTTAAAACAATAGTGGAATATCAACACGTATATCGATATTTCGTACTAAAATGAAGTAAGTCACAAAATTTTTTTTTTAAAAAGCTCACATATGGAGAAGAGTAAACTCGAAATATGAAAGGCACTATGTTTAGTATAAGTGTGATATCAGATTTAAAAATTAGATAATGAGTTATGTACGAGTATACTCCTCCTTTCTTTAACTATCAATATTTAAGAGAGTTTTCTTTCATTTAGCTGGTTAGTTTTAAAAGTTTCTTGTAAAGTAATTTTTAGTGTAGTTACATTCTAAGGCTTATTAAAAAAAATTATATAACATACAGAATTGCGGTTAAATATACCTCAAATGTTATAAAGTGCAAAAAATATATATATATTTGTATAAAAAAATCTCTATGAAAATGTTACAAACATACCATATATATAAATATATATACGTAATATATGTATATAATATAGGTTGATTTATGCATTACACCCTATAAATATTAGTCAATTACAATTGTGTTTCTCTTCAACTTTTCTATTCTACGTTTATCCAAACCTTCAAATTAAAAGCACAGAACTCCTGAGCAACTGAATCAACATATTAATAATTTAATATACTTTCACAGGGAAATTACAATAGCTGTCTTCGATTCGCCAAGCGACGGAGAGTAGCAAAGCTCAATGAAGAAATGTTTTTTTCGCGTTAAAAAGCGTTCCCGTTACTCCTTTGGTTTTGTTAGCTATACATTATTTTAATTGATTTGAAGTTTTAGAAATACAAGGAGAAACTTTTTTTTTTGATTTGTCATTTGAACCATTCACAATAGTAATACTGATCTAAAATACGCAAAACCAAACGTGGTAGCATTTGGAAAATAGCGGCTAAACCACTTTAATGAGGCATCCGCAAACTCTCTTGTGCGAATTCTACTCGATATCTTTATTATTGCTTTTACTTATAATTTATTTTTTCAAAAAAAAAAAACAGAAACGAACAAGGAATTGGCAAATCGACGACAGCTAAGATTGACGAGCAATGCAAATTTCTTTAGATCCATGTTGTGAACGAGAATAAATCCGAATTATATGTAGTCGGTCTCTCGAATGAAACATTTTAGGCCTGGTTACACATAGTTCGAATTGAGTGATTGATTTCAATAATGATGATAATATTACTTACATTACTTATACATGTAGACATGTGTAAAGGCTTTAAATTAGTATGTTACTGAAAATATATTGGGTCTACCATACAACTATATTCGTGCGGTTTGCGAAGACATGGTGTAACAATAAAAAATAAGTTCAAAACTTGCTTTTAAGTATAAACAATGGAGTAGTTCGATTCAATAAAAATACACAAAAGTTTTACAAATAAATAATTTATTAAGAGATACCTATCATTTATTATACTCTCGCAACCTGTTGCTACAGAGTATAATAGTTTTGTTCACCTAACGGTTGTTTGTATCACCTAAAACTAATCGAGTTAGATATAGGGTTATGTATATATAAATGATCAGGATGAAGAGACGAGTTGAAATCCGGGTGACTGTCTGTCCGTCCGTCCGTCCGTGCAAGCTCTAACTTGAGTAAAAATTGAGATATCTTTCTTGGTAGACATGTTTCTTGGTACCGTGAGACGGTTGGTATTGCAGATGGGCGTAATCGGACCACTGCCACGCCCACAAAACGCCATTAATCAAAAACAAATAAATTGACATAACTATGCTCCGCAGTAAGATACAAGACTGTTATTTGGTACATAGGATCACATTAGGGAGAGGCATCTGCAGTTAAAATTTTGTTTTTAAAGTGGGCGTGGTCCCGCCTCTAATAGGCTTAATGTGCATATCTCCTACACCGCTATTGCTATATTAACAAAATCGTCACTGGACGCAAATGTTTTTAGCACTTCTATTGACGGTGTAAAAATAGTTGAAATCGGGTGGCAACTTCGCCCACTCCCCATATAACGGTACTGTTAAGAACTACTAAAAGCGTGATAAATCAAGCACTAAACACGCCAGAGACATTACATTTTATCTCTGGGATGGTATGAGATGACTTTATAGGAATCGCGTTCAAAATTAGTCATCGGGCGTGGCACCGCCCACTTTTAGGTGAAAACCCATATCTTGGGATTTGCTTAACCAATTTCAACAAAATTCGGTACATAACGATATTTTCATATTTCCATGTTATAGTGCGAAAATAGGCGAAATCGGACTAGAACCACGCCTATTTCCCATATAACACCATTTTCAATTCCATCTGATTCTTTCACTTTCCACTATGCATATCAAGCAACAACGACTATATTACCCCTATATAATATGCATGAATAATACGTTTAAAGTATGCCACCTTGTGACCAAAAATTGTTTAAATCGAACCAAAACTGTTCAAGCCCCTAAGTACTAAATATGTGCACCCCAGTGCCTATAGTTGACCTTCTACCGAAAATATCAGCCAATCCACAAAGAAATCTCAAACGAGTATACCATTTGACTTTGCGAGAGTATAAAATGTTCGGTTACATCCGAACTTAGCCCTTCCTTACTTGTTGAATATGAAATTTTTTTATTTTTGCTGTCATGTTCCGTAGAAGTTTCTTTTATTAACAGTCAAATATACTGTATACTGGCTTTGATAACGTCTCTCAAATTCCATTATATCTTGATGGTACTATTCTTATTATTCTTCTGAATAAGTTCTGATATTATATTTAAATTTATCTAAATGAGAATGTAACATGAGCATCGTTAGGGACTTAAAACTGTTCAAGGCTTTTTTCTCCTAATTGCTAAACTTCGGGACAATATCACAATCCATACCATTTTTTGAGCATTTTTAAATAAAGATTCCAGCTTTTCTTTTCGCCTTTGGAAAAATTCTTTAAATATTTGAAAGATGATGACTTTGTTCCCTCCAAATTCTCGGCACTGCAAACTTTATTGCTCATTTTTCACCTCGGTTCCAGCCTACAATAAAACGTAGGTTATAATACCTAATTAATGTTATCAAAATTGAAAATATTTATTATAAAAAAAGAGAAAATAAACTCTACATCCAGAATACATCTGAAAAAGTTACATGAAACATGCTGAGCTTTTTTTTGTCCTGATTTTTAATGGGTAGAAGTAAGCTTGACATGCTTCGCAAATCTTAAATTTTTACTTAAACTAAATATGATATTAATAATAAATATTAATTTTGTTATTATAACTTTAGCGGCTTGCGAGATATGCACATTAAACCTATTAGGGGCGGTATCACAAAAAAATTTTAACCGCAGATGCCCTTCCGAATATGATCCTGTAAACCAAATAACAGTATTTTATCTTATTGTGGAGCTTAGTTATGGTAATTTATTTGTCTTACTTCTTACGGTACCAAGAAACATGTGAACCAAGATCACAGAGATATCTCAATTTTCAAAACAGTTTTTTAACAGAAATTCATTCATGATGAAAAACATTTTTTCGAAAAATTGTTATTGGTGTCAGCAACTTGTTTGGGCTCTTCATAACCCTTTTTAACAGCACCCAATATCTTTCGATCGGACAGTTAGGTGGATTTGCATATCTTGACACAAAAGCTATATTGTTCTTCTCATACCATTCAATTACCGATTTGCTAAAAAAATGTGGACATCTTATGCCGTCTTATGAAAGAAAAAAGCTGTTTTGCAAGCACTCCAAGATTTATAATATAAATCAGTGTTGATAATTAAAGCTGTAACAAAAGGGCTGCTTCTTTTACCACAGTGACAAATTGCTTGCCAAGACAAAAATTTCTTTGGAAACTTTGTTCTTTTTAAACTCTTCTTGGACATTCCCTTTATGATCTGCAACATAAAAGTCCACACCTGGAAGCTGGAAAAAGTCCCCAAGCACATGCGTCTCATCCATAATGTAGCAGAAATTTTGTTTAAAGAAATCAAGGTGAAGCCGTTTGGTTAGATATTTTACTGTGCCGTTATTTTTGGAATTTCTGTCTGGAACTTTCCGATCTTAGTCAAACTTAAATCCTTCCTCCTTTTCAACTTTTCTGACAAAAGTTTGAGAACACTGTAGTTTTTTCGCTACTTTTTTCCCCGATATATTAAGATCTTTCGTAAAAACGCTATTACCTTCTTAGCTACGTCAGGATCCTTAAAACCTTTCGTTCTACCACTTCCTTGCTTCCTACTGAAATTTAGGTATTTGCTGAACATTTTAACATAACGCGACACGGTATTCCTGGAAACATTTGTTTCTCTAGCAATTGTTTTCATTGTCCAATTTGGATTTTCGTTATAAAATCAAATAATTTTTCGCGCACTTCTAGTTGACTACTCATCACAGATAAAGAGATGACCAAGTCATCTCTCACTGGAAATGAGAAAGCAATTGCTAAACGTCAAAACCTCCTGAAGTTAGGAAACTGTGAAAGTTCAGTAGGTCTGACGTTTAGCAATTGGAAAAGGGGGACGGCCAGATTGAAATCCTACCAAAAAAATTTGTCAACAGAGAGATTTGTTACTGCTGTTAAAGATCACTAACAAAAATTGGAAAACAATTAAGATGAAAGCAACGCGAAATTGAAATGTATGTGATGAAATCTTTTGTGATGCCATGCTTCGTAGTAATTATTTTCAATTGAAAATGATAAAAAAATATTTATTAATTGAGAACTAATACATTTATACTTTTGACTAAGTATTGAATATTCAAAAATCATTTATTTTAATTTATCACAAAATCACAAAAAATTTAAACAGTTTGTCCATGACTTCAACGGATATATATTTAATAATATTTAATCTTAATAAATGTTGGGTGTTTTATTTAAATGCTCAAAAATTATTACTTTGTGCGATCTGGATACAATGGAAAATGTTTAAAACCCGCTCATTTTGAGGCGCTCTCATACTGGAATAAGTTGGGCATCCCTTTGTCCCTGCTACTCAGTTTAAAAGCTACACGTATCGAATTCTATTGAAATGTGAATATTTTGCTAAGCAAATTTCATGTAAAAAAATATTAAATTTGAAATTTTAAAAATTTGACAGATTGCAATATAGTCGTATGCACCAATTTCAGCGTGCGTGTTCGAGTTGATGTGCGCCAACCATTAATATAATTTTATAACTTTTAAGAAAACGTGTCCAATTAATTTCATTAAAATATCACACTTTGACCACCCTAAACGGTTTAAAGTCAGGTGGATAGTCGGAAATCATTATATAGGATATATTGAGGGCAGAGTAATGGAATGGCTGACTGATTTTTGACAAAATATATGAGTTAGAGTTATACGGAGGGGCTAAGGTAAGTTTTTGTCCGATTTTATCCATTTTGGACACGAAGATACACTGTTAGTAGAAAAATACGCTCTCTTAATTTCATTAAAATAACTTGCACATTCGCCGATGTACGTGGTATAAAGTCAACTAGAAGTTCGAAAATCTTTATATTAGTTATTCAACCCTTTGACACAAGGATATACTATTATCAAAAAAGCATTTTCCCCAAATTTCAAAATTATATCGCACAGTTTGTCGAATATTCTCGGCAAAAAATCAGCAATACGCACTGGAGTCCACATACTCGCTATGTGGGTGCTTGAACAGCTATTGTCCGATATTGACAATCTCGAGATAGCATATCTCATAGGCACTATTTGTACAAGGTTTCAGGGTTTTCCGAATTTGATTGAAATTTTTCGAGTAGGTTCGGAGATCCATCGTCCAATTTTGACTCCGGCTTCTATGGAGTTCTCATGTATTATCCTATGCGTAAAAGTTAATACCTGTGGCGCATTTAGTTATTGATTTATTGCGATTTAAGTAGTTTTTAAAAACACCATTATATGGGAGAAGGCGGAGTTATAATCCAATATCATCCACTTTTATACTGTCGGTAGGAGTTTTTATAGGAATTAGCTTTGGAGATATGTACACTAAACTTATTAGGGGGCGGAGCCAAGCACATTCTTTCAAAACTTTTAGCCCACAGATGCCCCTTGCTACTGCTATCAGCTGTACCAAATTACAGGTTTATATCTTAATTAAAAGTGCTTAGATATAACATTTTAAAAGCTTTCTATTAATAGCGTTTTGTGGGCGTGGCAGTGGTCCGATTACCTTCAGTTACGAACTCGTCCGTTTTTGAGAAGGAACACGTGTACCAAATTTCATGAAGATATCTTAATTTATACTCAAGTTATAGCTGCACGGACAGGCGGACGGACGGACTCGGATTTCAACTCGCCTCGTCATCATGATCATTTATCATGATCATGGTGAACTAAACCATTACACTCTGTTGGAACATGTTGCAAGAGTATATTCAATTATTTAAGCTGAATAGAATATATTCCTTACGTTTAGAGGGAATTGGCCACGCATGCCGTATTACGCTGTAAATCTTTTTTAAGAGTCTTAA